CCACTTTTCACAAGGAGCCGGGCTCTGGGCTGTACTCATTACACACTGGGTCAGGTCAGGTAGCTTCTGTGTCGTGCGACTGTCGGTCACTCACCCACCAGTCGGTCCTCTCGCACCACCGTCTAGGTCACCCGTCCTTCCCGCGTCTCAGTAGAATGGTACGTCACAGTCTGGTCTCAGGTCTCCCTACGTCTCTTGCCCCGCTTCCCCGCTCGCCTGCACTACCGTGCACCCCTTGCGTCGAGGGGCGGCAGCGCGCTGCCCCCCACTCCTCCTCGTTCCCCCCCACTACGGCTCCCTTCCAGGCCCTTCACTTGGACGTTCGGGGCCCCTCCCCGGTCCTTGGCCCACGTCAGGAGCGCTTCTTCCTGATTGTGGTGGGCGACTACTCACGCTACACCACGGTTTTTCCCTTGCGACGGAAGGCCGGCGTGCCTACCGTCCTCGAGCCGTGGCTACTAGCGAGGGGTGGTGCCCATTGCCTTCGTGGACTCCGTCTACACTCTGACCGTGGTGGTGAGTTCTTTTCCACTCGTCTGGAGGTGGTCTGTCAGGGTCACGGGAACACCCAGTCTTACACGTTACCGGAATCGCCGCAGCAGAACGGGGTCGCTGAGCGACGCATCGGCCTGGTCATGGAGGTTGCCCGGGCCTCCATGTGCCATGCCGATGCCCCCCAGTTCCTGTGGCCTCAGGCAGTTCGCTACACCGCGCACCAGCTGAACCTGTGGCCTAGTGACGCACGGCCACGGGTGACGCCGGTCTTCCTTTGGATAGGTTCTCGGGGTGTAGCGGCTGACTTCCGGGTCTGGGGCTCCTTGGCTCACGTTCGCGACCCTGGCGCGAACAAGTTCTCTTCGCGCACTCGTGCCTGCATCTTTCTTGGCTTCCCCCTGGACGCCTCCGGCTGGGCATTCTACGACCCGCTCACCTACCAGTTCTTCAGATCCCAGGACGCCACATTCGACGAGTCGGTCTGTTACTACAGGAGTCGTCCCCACCGAGGTTCCGAGGCCTTCCCCCCCCTCCCCCCCCTCGCGTCCTGCCCCGTCAAGTGTGTCGCACGTCACTCCGCAGTCATCTCCCCCGCAGCGTCCAGTCCCTGTCGTGTCTGGGGGTGCAGGAGGTGCAGTGGAGGGTGAGGGTACTGGGATTGCTGGAGCTGGTGTGCAGGCTCTGGGGGTGCAGTGGGTGTGGGCGTGGAGCCCCTTCCTGTCGAGGACACGGCCGCCTCGAGTTGGCGCCCTCGCCTTGCCTCACCCCCTGGCTTCCCGTCCGTTCCGCAGTTTCCTCCTCGTTCGTCTCTGCGGTCAGTCACTGCGGAGCCTGGGGGTGTCCCTGCGGGAGGTACTGGAGGCACTGAGGAGGTCGTTGGTGGAGGTTCTGGTTCTGGGGGTGCTAGCACCGGAGGAGCAGGCACGTTGGAGCCTACACCGCGTGCTGTACGTTTCCAGACCCGTGTGCAGCGTCTTCTAAGGAGCAGGAGCGGCTTGACCAAGTAGAGGAGGAGTCACACCCGCAGCAGCAGGAGAGAGTAGAGGAGGAGTCGCACCTGTAGAAGCAGGACAGAGTAGACGAGGAGTCACGGCCGCAGCGGAAGGTTCAGTTACCGCCGCAGCAGGAGAGGGTAGAGGAGGAGCCACAGCCCCAGGCGCAGCTGCGCACGCTACCGGAGCTACAGGAGCAGCAGCGGGAGCAGGTGCAGCCGCAGCTGACGCCAGAGGAGGCGGAGCAGCAGCGCCTGGACCGGCTTCCTGACCCCGCGCATGCGCGCTTTGTCCGTCTCGTCCCGACTCCTCCTGTTCCCCCTACCCCGTTCCCCTCCCAGTGCAACTGGACTGTTCGTCGTTCTCCTCTCAGTCGTGCTGTGTCTCCAGAGCCTCGTCCGTCTCGTTACAGTGCCGACTGACGGTTTCGCCTTGTCGGCGTCCTTGGCCAACCTCTCACCTCGGCTACTACCGCCGCCAGACTTGTCACAATGCCCCAGTCGACTTCCTTGTGTCGTCGGGGCGACGTAGTTTGCCTGCGGCAGGAGCTCCGTAGACTTCTCGGCCTCCTGCATTGCCTCGTCCCGGATGATGTGCGAGGTCAGGCTATCCTCGTTGAGTGATTCCCGCATGCCTGGCACCACCATCAGTCGGCGCATCAGGTTGTAGCCGCTCGGGAGCCCCTTCACGACGTGCGTGATGTACGACGCCGACGAGTAGTCGACGCCGGCCATCCACATGTTGGCAAGAAGTCGCCGATCCCGGTTGCAGTAGTCGGTCGCCGTCTCCTGCTCGCCCATCCTCAGGTGCGTCAGCTGCTCCTCTAGCTGGCCGATGTACAGGTCGTCGGTGGCCTGGTACGTCGACGTGATGAACCGCCACGCTTGGTGACCGGCGTCCAGGTGACTCCGGCACGACTTCAGGGCGATTTGCACCACCGACGAGCAACACCGCAAAATGACCATCAAGGTCAGCAGGTGAGCGGTGCGAAACTCCGCACGCAGCTTGACGTTGGCCTCCGGCGGCGTCTCCACCGAGTCGTCGGCGAAACACATCAAGCTGGCTATCTCTAGCTGGAGCTCGATGGACTCCTTCCACGTGATCAGATCATGTCGACCTACCAGCGGCACAGGGACGGCGACCTTGTCCGGCGAAAATTTGAAGTAGCCGTAGGTCGGCGCGATCCCGCCCGACGTCTCGTGGGTCGCCGACGTCGGCGTCACGCTGCTTTGACGTCGCCTTGCGAGGAGCCCGCAGCCGCCGACGACTGCAGCCCTCGCGCCTGAATGCCGCCGACTTCACCGCCGGCGGCGTTCCTGATCAATCCTCTCCGCCTCGACGTGCCTCCCGCACTGCTGCCGACTTGATCGCCGCCGTCGACGTCCTCATCGACGCCGACTTCGTTGCGCACCAGTCGAGGAGAGCAGGTCGGGAAGGGTGCTCCGTTGCCCACTTTGCACGGATGCCCAACTTGACGACCTCCAAGGGGAGGGTCGTCCCGAACTCGCCAGCCTCGTGACGTCTCCTCGCATCAGCTAATCGTGTCTCCATACTATCTTCTACCGCGTCGGGTCCTACCGGGACGGGCGTCATAGTCGCACGAGCTGCCGGCCTACGAACGCCTTAGTAGGTGCAAAAGTCGGCTGCTACTCTGAATGTATCTTCGGGGCCGTCCACGCTCACCGCACCATGCGGAGATGAACTACACAACGAGAGCTAGACTACGGGGGGAAGCACGGGTGTGTGATTGATCGTAGCGTTCCTTAGCGTTCTCTGGCACTTGCGTGTTCACGGGGCAAAAACGGCAAGAGTTTCACTAGAGAAAGTTCAGAATAATGGTAGCAACAACATTGGCAACAATGACTACATCAGATGCAAGTCTGCATAGCGCACAGGGCATGTTGGCCTCCAGCACAGCATGGTCGACTGCGTTCCAGCGCAGCAAAGTTCGCACCGCTCCAGCGCTGCAGAGAGGTGGCTTGCCAACGTTGCAAGGCGACGGCGTGCCAACGCCGCAGCAAGGCGGTTGTACAGCGTTGCACCCGCATGACTGCAGCGCACCTACTTCGCAAGGGTTCGCAGTTGGTTGGCGTGCTGTATACCGTCACGTGCACAGCGCAGACGCCAAGTCGACAACGTGCCAACGACTGCACATGATCAGCCACGTCGACCTCGGGATACCACCTCTGAGGTCGGCTTCGCCAGAACCACCTGGGCGATTATCGCGCACCTCCGCAGATCCCCGTCGCCCGGGTAACTTGGTCGACCGGGCTACCACGCCGACCAAGTGCTGTTCCTCGTGCCCGTCGACTGTCCAGGTCGACGACCACCTTCTTCCGACTTCACGAAGTCGGCCACTCCCCCAGGTCGACCACTTCTGGTCGGCCAGGTCTGCTGGTCGCCGACTGCACCCAGCCGGCTTCCCCAGGTCGGCGCCACCAAGTCGGGGCCCTCCAGGTCGGCACCACCAATTCGGCGCCCTCCAGGTCGGCGCCACCAAGTCGGCGCCCTCCAGGTCGACCTCGCCTGATCGACCTCCCAAGATAGGCGCCCTCCTAAGTCGGTGGCCCTCGTAGGTCGACGTGCCACCACGTCAACCACGGTTGAAGTCGGCCGCCGGCGCCCGTCGTCGGCGGCTTCGCAGTGGCCCCCGTGTAAGTCGACCAAGCCTGTCGACCTGCGCGCCCAAGTCGGCGTCGACCACTGCAGCAGTTCAGCTGCACCTCCCGCATACCCGACCACAAAGTCGGCTCCGCCCAAGTGAGGACGGGGCCAACACACAACTCCTGTTGACAGATAATACAGCGGCTACGCCTACCCATATTTACTGTACCTTGCATTATCTTGCTTATTTATATTTTCTTGTGCTTGTTTTCCTAGTTTCGTTGTTTTACTATTGTTATTATACTTATAGGCACCGAATATGTTACGTGCACCGAGTCATGTGCATTTCAATTTATCACCGCGTGACTTTGCGTATTCTACTGTAACGCGTGATTCCACCAAGATGATTCTACCGAGTTCGGGAAGGACCCGTTTGGGACGCTTCGCGACCCTCGGAACCTTCCCGTGTCACTTGGTTACCTTGCCTTGTATCGTTCCTATATATAGTCTCGTGTTGTACTCGGGTGATAATTATGTCAGAATCACTGTGCAGGAATGAATGAACTATGAATTAGTTGGGTACAAGTACTAACCCTAAAGTGTTGTACCCCTTGTAGGCTAACCCACTATAGCCTAGAGAGAACACAAACATATAGTTTGACACACCCCCATAGGCTAAGTGGGAGAGAGCAAACACAACAGACGGTCACAAGACCAGTCAAGCAAGAGAACAAAGCAAAGCAAAGCTCAGGGTGGATCTCAAGATCACCACGCATTCTGAGCACAAGCAAGCGGCCACAAGGCCAGTTCACATACAGAGTTATAATAGCAAGGCAAAACACTGATCACAACCTAGCAAGAGTAAACAAGCAGGTATAAAGATATATATCAGTGTACAACAAGAGCAAGTCAAGCAACCAGCAGGTGAGGCAGAGTGAGCACAAGCCCAAGAGCTGTGCAGAAACGCTGATGATCACCAGACCCAAGGGCCTTGGTGAAGATATCAGCAGTGTTGGCCCGAGAGGCCACGTAAGCAAGGCGCAGCTGACCACGCTGCTGCAGCTCACGTGCAAGGAAGTAGCAAAGAGCAATGTGCTTCGTTCTGTGCTCCAGTCTCTGCTCGCGACACAAGGCAAGCATTGCCTTGTTGTCGACGTACAGAAGTGGAGGAGAACGAGGCCGCTCCCCCAAGTCGGTCAGTAGGTAGGTCAGCCATCGAAGCTCCTGTGCAGCCATGGCCCCAGCGTAGATCTCGACCTCACAGTTGGAACCAAGCACAGAAGAAGAACGAGTGGACCTCCATGAGACAGAACCAGAGCCAAGACTGAAGGTGTAACCCTGTGACGAACGCTGAGTCGCCTGGTCATCGGCCCAAGAAGCGTCAGAGTGTCCTGTGAGTACCACTGAACCCCGTCCTCCAAGCACGAGCCCCATGCCCGATGTACTGCACAAGTAACGCAGTACCCTCTTCGCAGCATCAAAGTGCACCTTTCGGTGTCTACCGGGTGCCACGTAGCGAGCCAGGAGGCTGAGAGGGTGCGCGAGGTCAGGTCGTGTGCACGTCATCAGGTACATGAGGCAGCCCACAAGCTCTAGGTACGGACCACTCGGCTCTACGGACTCGTCCGAAGGTGGAGCTGAGAGCGAGTGGCCGGTAGACAGAGGAGTGGGCTGTGGCAAGGACCACGTGAAGCCGAAGCGCTGAAGGACCTGGTGCACCATGTGTGACTGAGTGAGGGTGATGGTGCGCCGTGCTCTGTCCCGGGTGATCTGCAAGCCAAGATAGCTCCGCAGCTCACCCAGGTCAATGCAGGTGTGTCTCTTCTGCAGCTCCGCCTTCACTAGGGCCAGTGCCTCAGTGTCAGCAGTAGCAAAAACCAAGTCGTCGATGTACACGAGGATGTAGAACGCCGGCAGACTAGTGTCGGTGCGTAGAAACAGCGACGGGTCAGCAGTCGAAGGAGCAAACCCAAGAGCCACAAGTGTCGTCCTCAGTGTGTCGTGCCACTCGTGGGGCGCCTGACGCAGGCCGTACACTGGTCGCCGTAGGCTCCACTGGGTACCCTCAGGAAACGACCCAGTGAAGCCCTCTGGACGGCGCAACCAGATGGCCTCGTGAAGGCTACCCTGCAAGAAAGCTGTCGAGAAGTCGAGGGAGTGCAGCTCGTAGTCACGCTGAGCTGCAACGTGTAGCAACACCCGAAGAGTGGTCACCTTCGGGGTGGGGGAGAAGGTCTGAAAGAAGTCGACCCCCGCACGCTGACTGAAGCCTCGAGCAACGTAACGTGCCTTGTAGGCAGGCGGAGAACCCGGCGGCCGCTTCACCCTGAAAATCCACATGCCACTGACGATGTTCGCCCCAGGTGGGGGAACCTCGTCGACGTAGGTGCCAGTGGACTTCCAGGAAGCCATCTCTGCGTCCATGGCTGTCTGCCACTGAGAGGAGTACTCACCCGAAATCGCCTCTCTGTAAGAGCGCGGGGTGGGGATGTCAAGTGCATCCGGGTCTCCCTCAGGGGCAAGCAGCATGGTCGCGAGATGGGGTGCAGCGGCCGCAAGGCACTCCAGCTCCTCTTGCCTGTCCTCAAGAACGTCACAGCCAAGGGCAGTACAGCCAAAGGCAGTCTCACCCTCGACGGACGGAGGACAAGCAGGGACAGGGTCAGAAAAAAGACTCGCAAGGTAGTCTAGGCGGTACACAGCAGCAAAGTCAACGAGCTCAGCGACTGAGGCAGACGCAGCAGGAGACGAGAACGAAGGGTCAGTCACCACCATAGCAAGAAAGCGAGTAACAGTCGGACTGGACGCACGAGCAAGGTCAGGCGGAGGGTCAGCAACGTCAGGAAGAGAGGACGCAGGAGGTAACGGCAGGACAACACGCTGTGGAACAGAGGAAGGACGGAGTGTCATATCGTGAGTGCCTGGGACAACCGGAGCACGCTGACGACGAACACGAGGAACACGAGCACGGACAGCAGCTCTAGGCTCGGGCTCAAGGTCAAAGCTGGACTCAGGCTCTTGACGCTCAGGGGTGGAAGCACGAGTCTCAGGCTCTCGACGCTCGGTCAGGGACTGTGTCACCGCAGTGTAAGGAGCAGGAGCAGGCAGTGGGGAGTGCGGTAGTAGCTGCGGCTGTGACTGGTCTGCCGGTGGAAACAGTAACGGAGGAGTAGTACCTGCCACAGGGAAGTCAGTAGCACCTGGCGGATGACTGGGAAGGTGGCGAAGAGCACCAGCAGCTCCCGTACCTCCAGCACGAGCAGCTCCTCCATTACTCCCAGCAGCACCTCCAGCACCAGTAGCAGCAGCACATCTAGTACCTCCAGCACCAGCAGCACCTCCAGTACCTCGAGCACCAGCAGCACCAATAGCTCTAGGTCCTCCTGCACCAGCAGCACCTCCAGTACCTCCAGCACCAGCAGCAGGACCAGCACCTCCAGCACCAGCAGCTCCAGTAGCTCCACGTCCTCCAGCACCAGCAGCAGGACCAGCAGCTCCAGCACCTCCAGCACCAGCAGCAGGACCAGCAGCTCCAGCACCTCCAGCACCAGTAGCTCCACGTCCTCCAGCACCAGCAGCACCTGTAACTCCAGGTCCTCCTGCACCAGCAGCACCTCCAGCACCAGCAGCACCACCAGCTCCAGCAGCACCAGTACCCCCAGCACCTCCAGTACCAGCAGTACCTCCAGCACTAGCAGCTCCAGCACCTCCAGCAGCAGCAGCAGCTCCAGTAACTCCAGCACCAGCAGCACCTCCAGTACCTCCAGGCCTAGCAGCTCCAGTACCTCCAGCACCAGCAGCACCTCTAGTACCTCCAGCTGTACCTCCAGTACCTCCAGCACCAGTAGCACCTCCAGCACCTCCAGCACCAGTAGCACCTCCAGTACCTCCAGGCCTAGCAGCTCCAGTACCTCCAGCAGTACCTCCGGCACCTCCAGCACCAGCAGTACCTCCAGGACTAGTAGCTCTAGCACCAGCAGCACCTCTAGTACCTCCAGCACCAGCAGCACCTCCAGCACCTCCAGCAGTACCTCCAGCACCTCCAGTACCAGCAGTACCTCCAGGACTAGTAGCTCCAGCACCAGCAGGACCGTACCCTCCACCACCAGGACTGCCTCGCCGAACGATCCACGCACGAATCGCCTGCGGCGAGAGCGTCTCAAGTAGATCAGGCTGCGGTGGTTGTCCAGCTCCTGCACCTCCAGTAGTGGTAGCTCTAGCACCTCCAGCACCAGCAGCACCTCTAGTACCTCCAGCTCCAGGACCTCCAACAGGGTCACCCACAACTCCACTGCCACTAGGACTCGCAGCACCCCCAGAGTCAGCACCCCCAGTCGCAGCACCCCCAGAACCAGCACCCCCAGGCACAGCACCCCCAGAACCCTCACCCTCTGTCTCAGCACCTGTAGTCTTAGCTCCAGAGTCCACAGCAGCAGGCTGCGGAGGCGGCGAAGACGGTCGAGGCGGAAAACCCGGGGGGGTCTCCAAGCGTGGAGAGCGGCGAGTGGGTGCCGTGTCGTCCGCAATTGGGTCACCCCCCTCAGCTGGGCCAGAGGAGTCAGAAGAGATCTCCACTGGCTCATCCAAGGGGGGTGGGTCGACCTGAGACACACATGAGGGAGCAGGACCCTGTGGGGGGGAGGGGGTCTACCGGGGGGGGGACTGGTACCAGGAAGAGGGGTGCTAGGGGAACCGGGTGGGACGCGTGCGAGTGTAACTGGTAGAAACAGACAGACTCGTCAAAGGTGACGTCCTGGGGGGAGAAGACTCGACGCGAGGGCGGGTGGTAGAACTGACACGGTGGGGCGTCAGTGGGGAAGCCAAGGAAGACTCAGCGGAGAGTGCGAGACGAGAGCTTGCTCGCTTTGGCATCGCGAACAAGGGAGAGCACGCCCCAGACCCGAGACACTGACGCATCACCAGGCTTCCCCGTCCAACAGAGTGTGGGCGAGGTTTCTGGCGCAGAGACACGAGGCCAGAGGTTGAGCTGATGCGCAGCGTATCGGACCGCAAACGGCCACAGAAAATGGGGAGCAGCCGCATGGATCATGGAGGTGCGAGCAACCTCCATGATCAAGCCAATGCGACGCTCAGCAATCCCATTCTGCTGAGGAGAGGCCGGAAGCGTGAACGTCTGGCGGATGCCCTCGTCTCGACAGAACCCCGCAAGGAGGTTAGAAGAGAACTCACCGCCCCTGTCAGACTGCAGACGCAGGACTGGGAAGTCCTGCTGAAACCGCTCGTGCAGCTGGAGACGAGTAGCACGGATCCAGGGGATCAGGACACCGCGCCGCAAGGGGAAGACAGTGGTGTAGCGTGTGTAGTCGTCAACAACCAGCAGGAAGTAGCGCTCGCGGTCCGTTCCACTGATGGGGGCCGGGCCCCACACGTCCATGTGGAGAGTCTGTAGAGGAGCAGTGGTCGGAGGAAACTCGGAGGAGTGAGGAGCGGTGCGCTGCCGCCCCTCGACGCAAGGAAGGCACGGCGGGGCAAGCGAGCGCGGCAGGGGGGGCAGGGACCTGGGGAGGCCAGAGACAAGGAGACGGGAGTGCATGCTGCGTAGACGCGGCAGGGAGGGGTGACCAAGACGGTGGTGCCAGCGCTGATTCTCGTGCGTGAGTACTCTGCACGAGCAAGACGCAGCTAACTGTCCCGACGCAGACGCTCGACTCGACGCAGCCACCTGACCTGACTCAGCCACCTGTGCAGACGCAGTGGTCAGTGTGTACAGACTAGACCCAGGCTGTCGTGTGAACGTAGCTAGGTGACGGCCAGTCCGGGAGCACGTACAGATCGCCACACGTTGCCCTCCAGGAATAAAGGTATCAACCCAGACATCCTGAATGGCAGCGTTGCTCACCAAGTTCGTAGAGAACGTGGGGAGGTGGAGACCAGACAGTGAACAGGAGGGGACTGCTGGACACGGGAGGACAGTGGAGGCTCGCGCAACTACTGGGCCCCCAGAGGGGTCAGCCAGTGAGACTGGGACAGGTGCTGCGAGTGGTGTGACTGTGGTGCAATCACGAAAGAAGCAATGTGACGCGCCTGAGTCAAGCGTGAAAGTGTGCAAGGCCTCAGCTCAGGCAGGACCTGTGGCAGGAGACGCACTAGCACCTAGAGCGTCGGCAGACTCACGGGCACCTAGAGCTGCAGCAGACTCACCAGCACCTGGAGCGGCAGCAGACTCACTAGAACCGAGAGCAGTAACCTCTAGACAACCAGGGACGCATCGCTGAGAAGCACAGTCGCGAGGTCGCTGAGGCCACATAAAACCAAAACCCCCACCATCAGGACGGCCTCGCTGAACAACCCACTCACGAAGCTGCTGAGGGGTGGGGTCGTCCGGGAGAGGCAGTACCCGCTGCTGTCCACCCCTAGCCGCTGCAACTGCCGCGATAGTGGCCATGACAGACAGTGACGTGCAGTAGTAGGTCCAGCACCTCCAGCACCTCCAGCACCAGCAGCAGCAGTAGTAGCAGCAGGGCGGCTCGGTGGGGCTGGGCGGCTGCACCTCCAGCACTCCCCGCAGCACCTCCACTTTTCTACTTTAACGAGCAGCAGCAGCAGCATTAGCAGCAGCAGGGCAGCTCGGGTTGGGCAGGGCGGCTCGGGCTGGACGGCGCGGCTCGGCCTGGGCGGCGCGGGCAGCAGGGCGTGCGCTGTGCAGGGCAGCAGGGTGCGACTCGCGGGCTGCAGCAGAGCGCGACGCGCGGGGCAGCAGGGCGCGACGCGCTGGCTGCAGCAGGGCGCGACGCGCGGGGCAGCAGAGCACGACGCGCGGGCTGCAGTAGGGCGCGACGCGCGGAGCAGCAGAGCGCGACGCGCGGGCTGCAGCAGAGCGCGACGCGCGGGCTGCAGCAGAGCGCGACGCGCGGGCTGCAGCAGAGCGCGACGCGCGGGCTGCAGCAGAGCGCGACGCGCGGGCTGCAGCAGAGCGCGACGCGCGGGCTGCAGCAGGGCGCGACGCGCAGGGCAGGGGCTGCTCACGGGCAGCAAGGGCGCTCGGGGCAGTAGGGGCGCTCGGGGCAGGGGCTGCTCGCGGGCAGCATTGGCGCCCGAGGCAGGGGCTGCTCGCGGGCAGCAGTGGCGCTCGAGGCAGGGGCTGCTCGCGGGCAGCAGTGGTGCTCGGGGCAGGGGCTGCTCACGGGCAGCAGGGGCGCTCGGGGCAGGGGCTGATCACGGGCAGCAGTGGCGCTCGAGGCAGGGGCTGCTCGCGGGCAGCAGTGGCGCTCGAGGCAGGGGCTGCTCGTGGGCAGCAGTGGCGCTCGAGGCAGGGGCTGCTCGTGGGCAGCAGTGGCGCGTGTGACAGCAGGGCAACGCGCTAGGGCAGGCAGTGCGAGTAGCTGCAGGGCAGCGTGACACTGTGCGAGAGGGCCGGACAGCGCAAGGGCGCTTCGGGCAGGAACTAGCGGAACGATCGGTGGGCCCTAAAAACCTAACAGGTTTCCTGCTCTGAATACCATGTCAGAATCACTGTGCAGGAATGAATGAACTATGAATGAGTTGGGTACAAGTACTAACCCTAAAGTGTTGTACCCCTTGTAGGCTAACCCATTATAGCCTAGGGAGAACACAAACACACAGTTTGACAAATTATTAATCCTGAACTCGATCGTTCGATCCTCACACCCCCCCCCGCAGAAAAACAACAAATAATGAGTCTGTGAAAATACAGAATGACGAACAATGAAGATGACGAGACTAAATAGGGGGATTCCTAGCTAGGAGGGAAGGTTGGGCGAAGATGGGTGGGAAAGGTTTCAATTGGTGCGGGGACGACCCGGGAGTGGTTTGGGGCGACGGAATAGGCCGAACCGAACTGACGCGTGGCCCTCGGGATGTACTCGCTAAAGTGAGAGTACACAAAGGAATTGTATTTCCTTACAATAACATTCTCAAACTCTGACCTTCTAATCGTGAGGCGTGTTTTCTGTAGACCAGTAGGGGCGCACCGACTGCTAGCTACACTAGGCCCCACTGAAAGTCTGCCTCTAAAGAATCTCGCGGAAATTCTCCTGTGCGATTCGGTGTGTGATCCCCTCCCACACAACCCCCTTCCTCTCCATCGGTCTTGACTCTCGATTCTCAACTCCCCACCCTCCATCGCCCTCGCACATTTGGAGCCCTGCCTAGGCTTGAGAAAGGAACTCCGAGGGCGTGATCGAATTGATTTGTGACAGCTTCCGAAACCCCAGTTCCAGTTCTCGCCCACGCTTCGAATTTGAGAACTGACACCTCCATACGCGTGTATCCAATAATTGGGGTAGCCCCAGCTTCATGTCTCTTGATAGCTCCGAAACCGTCCAGGCGCGAACGCGCCCCTACCTCGCCGTATCTCCCTCAAGCCGTGCCACCGGCAGTGCGCGCCACACCGTCGGTAGTTGGATCTGAGCCACACTCTTTGTGCCTCGTGTCGAGTTTCTCGAAACTCTCAATCAACTCGACCCACTGCGTCAACCCACCCACACCCCATCCACCCTCACACGTTCTGCTTGCTCATTCACAAGCCTACCGCAACCTCTGTCCATTTCCGCGGCCCTACTTACCGCACATTCAGTCTGTTGCGGTGGGTAGTGGCATCTTCGTACCAGGAACCCCCATACAATCTTCCCAATTCTGGGAATTCCTCAGATCCGGGACATCCATCGACCATACTCCGCTTTGTTTTTAAAACCTGAGCTCGTGAATCCCACAGACTTGTTCCTCATTCCTCATCTTACCTCGCCGTACCTTAAACAGGAGTGCCATCCACTGACCCCGTCCTTGCCTTCACTTGCCGCATCCTAAACATGGACCCAGCAGCACACCCATACCTAAATTATCGAGCCCACTCGCGTCCCGGCGACATGATCCCACATTACGCCGACAGCGACGATGCCAGCAGCCCGAAGAAGCTTCGCCGAAGGACCCTGGCGTCGGACGTTCTCCCGTTGCCGCTCTGGCTGACCAACACGGTCTTCCTCCTCATGTTCATCTTCTCCTGCTGCTACCTGCTCCAGCAATGGCGCGAGCAGCTCTACTCGTCGGAGCGGCTGCACGAACTGCTGTGGCGCGACCTCGTTGCCGTCTGCCTCGGTATGGGCTCCTTCATTTACCTTATAAACTTCTTCGGGGTCGGATTCGTGCAGTCGGCCATCGAGCAGAGCATGCTTTCCGAGGAGGAGGATGCGAAGGAAAGAGACGAGGAGGACGATGACGAGGAGGGGGAAGACGAGGAGGAAGAGGAGAAAGATCCAAAGGCGCTTCTTTCCCGCCACACGCGCAACCATCCGCGCAACCATCCGCGCGGGCATTATGCGCCCCATCCCCCGGAGCCCTGGTATAAGCCCGAACCGATCCCAACTCCCGCCACTGCCACCCCCGCCACTACCACCCCAGCTACTGCCAACCCCGCCACTGCCACCCCCGCTACAATCACATCCGTTTCAAGCGCGCCTGCTCCCACAGCACCGAAATCTTGCACCTTCAAGCTCGACAGCGGCTCATCCTCGCTACAAGACGTCCCATTACAGGACCTCCCGGACGACGACATCGCGCGCGCCGTCGCGCGCGGCGCCATCCCCATGCATTCCCTCGAAACGCAACTCGGCAACACTCTCCGCGCCGCCGCTGTCCGCCGGCGCGCCGTGGAGATCAAAACAGGCCGCTCACTCGCGGGGCTGCCCCTCGAGAACTACGACTACGACGCGATCCGCGGCGCGTGCTGCGAGATGGTCGTCGGCCACGTGACGATCCCCGTGGGCGTCGCAGGCCCCCTGCGACTCGACGACGCGGAATTCTTCGTACCCATGGCGACCACCGAGGGCTGCCTCGTCGCCAGCACCAACCGCGGCTGCAAGGCCATCTGCGCCGCGGGCGGCGCGCGCAGCGTCGTGCTGCGCGACGGCATGACCCGCGCGCCCGCCGTGCAGCTCCCCTCCGCGCTCCGCGCGGCGGAACTAAAAGCCTTCGCGGAAAACCCCCGCAACTGGGCTCTCCTCGCGGACGCCTTCAACAGCAGCAGCCGCTTCGCGCGCCTGCAAACCCTAAGCGTGGCGGTGGCGGGGCGCAACGCGTTTATCCGCGTGGAGAGCAGCACGGGCGACGCGATGGGCATGAACATGGTGTCCAAGGGCACGGGCAACGTGCTGGGCATGCTCGGCGCGGAGTTCCCGGACATGCGCGTGGTGAGCATGTCGGGCAACTACTGCGCGGATAAGAAGGCCACCGCCGTGAACTGGATCAAGGGGCGCGGCAAATCCGTCGTCTGCGAAGTCACCATCCCCGGCCCCGTGGTACGTCTGCTGCCCTTCATTGAATTCCCTTTCCTGCACTTATTACACCCCCGCCCTACTTTACCCCCAACCCCTCTGCCCTTCTACCCTCCCAATGTGTTCTCCGTCGCTCCTTTTTTCGTTTTCCTCTTGTTAACCCCTGCATTCCCTGCCCTCGCCTCCTCCTTGCACTCATCCCTTCCCTCCCCTTTCCACTCCCATGCACCCTCTTCCCTTCTCTGCCCCCCTCCGCCCTTCCTGTCGCCTCCCCAGGTCGAATCAGTGCTAAAGACAACGGTTGCCGCCCTGGTGGAGCTGAACACGACCAAGAACCTCGTTGGCTCAGCCATGGCGGGCGCGGTGGGCGGATGCAACGCGCACGCGAGCAACATTGTGACGGCGGTCTTCCTGGCCACGGGGCAGGACCTCGCGCAGAACGTGGAGAGCTCGCAGTGCCTCACGCTGCTAGAGGCGGCCAATGGCGGGGCCGACCTGCACGCGTCTGTCACGCTGCCTGCGATCGAGGTCGGCACCGTTGGAGGAGGAACCTTCCTTGCACCGCAGGTGAGCAGGCCGTTTCCCTCCTTGTGTCTTTCGCAGTTTAGAATGAAAGGTGTGCACGGTGCACCAAGCACTGGGCAGAGACGGCCATTATCGGGTCATTGTCGGTCATTATGCATCTTCAGCTATCCTGCCTCAACATCGGCCTTACTCCCCTCTTCCCGCTCTCTCTCTTTCTCTCCTCCCGCTATCCCAGGCGGCTGCCCTATCCCTGCTGGGCGTGAAGGGGTCCCACAGCACTCAGCCGGGGGCGAACGCACAGCAGCTGGCGCGAGTGGTGGCAGCAGCAGTGCTGGCAGGGGAGCTCTCGCTCTGCTCCGCCCTCGCCTCGGGCCACCTCGTGCAGGCGCACCTCAAATATAACCGCTCCACCCTCAACACTTCTGCCTCCGCCTCCTCCGTTGCTGCTGTTGCTGCTGCTGATACCGCTGCGGCTGGTGCTGCTGGGGCGGCTTCTGCTGCATCGGAGGGCCTCTGCATGGTCAGCAAATGCTAACTTAGGGCGCGTTCCACGGGGCTATTTGATTCCCTTCGCCTGGTGCCCGAGTGGCCTAGCTGAAACCGCCGTGTGGGATTGCTGACTGCTGCTGCTGCTGCTGCCGCTGTTGCTGCTGCTGCGTCCGCTGCTGCTGATGGTGATGAGATGTGCTTGCTGTGTTCTCTTCCTCTCATACCAGCTGTGCTGCAGTCAGCTATCCCACAAGGCGGATTATGAATTTATGAGCATGTGTGTGCCTGTTTGTGCATTGATTGTTGGTTTGGCTTTATGGTTTTTGTCTGGTTTGATTTGACTTGCTTTGCACATTGGTGTTTGTTCCTCAAAAGTGCTGTGTTTATGCACTTCTGGGTATTAAATTACTTATTCTTCTTTTAGTGTGATGCAAGTTTTTGATTGAGGTGTTTGCAAAAAACATATCTGCACTTTACTGATCACACAGCAAAACTAAAGACGCCGAGGAGGAACATTGTAGTTCCCTAAGTGAATTGCTGCAGTTTTCTGCTATACCTGCTGGAAATTCTACATCCATATATTGAGGAAATTGACCAAATAATTTCGTTGGTTGCAGATCAATACTGAGTGTAGCAGTGTAGCTCGCTCAGTGTCGCAGCTGCGATATTGACTCGCTTTGCAGATTGTGGGGCTCGGCAGTCAGGACACACAATCCATCCAGACGTGAACTGCACGTCAACCTCCGATTCTCGAATCTGGACTTCGCTCTCTTCGTTCGGTTCGATATAATCCACACGCGCAACCCATGCTTCTCGTCCTTCGCAGTTCCCCGTCCCGCATTCATGGCGACTATCACGCACGCCCCCTCCCTCCGCGTTTCCCGCTTTAGCGCCAGTCTCCACCACAGCACGGCTGCCTCTTCCCGCCTCTCGAGCCGCCTCCACCGCTGTCCGGTCTCTCCTCTTTCGCGTGCCCCCCTCTCCGCGACTGTTCCGCGCACCCCCGAACTCCGCGCCCGGCTTCTCCGCGGGCCTGTCCGCGCAAGCGGGGGGAGCAGCGGGAGAACCGCAAAAGACCCATCAGACGATGATGACGTGGCTGCAGCGTTTTCGTCGAGGACAAACGCATCCAGTTTAGGGCCGATCGGGGAGGAGCAAGGGGCTGGGAGCGTGGGAAGCGGAGAGATAAATTCGCGGGGAGAGAGAGACTCGTGGGGACGGGGAGAACCTTTGGGAGAGAGAGAACCGTTGGGAGAGACATACCCGCGGGGGGGTAGAGAGCAACAGCGTGGAAATGCGGGGGATTGGGTGTCGTCATCGGGGGAATGGCGGTTGTCGACTGGCGGTACTAGCAGCAGTCAAGGACTAGATTATGATATCGACCCGCTAAGTAGCAAATCCGGTTACCGTTATAATTACCACACAGGCGACGAAGACCCAGAAGCTAGCATCGACGCCGCAAAATTTTACCCACCGTCGCCCCGTTCCGCCATTCCCCCGCTCCCTTTACCCCGCATTCCGCCCACTCCCCGGTCGCCTCCCCCCCAACCCCACCAGTCCTCCCCACCTCCCCCGCGCTCCCCGCCTCCTCCCCCTCCTCCTCCGCCGCAAATCCCTCCTCCCCCCCGTTCATCGAACCCGTTCGCGGCGGTGAGCAAGTTCGCGTTAGCGGGGGTGTTCTTACTGGGGATAGGCGCGGGCGTGTCGGTGGACACGGTGCTGAACGTGGAGCCCAGCAACGTGGCGTCGCGGGAGGTCATCGACCGCCAGACGCCCAACCCGGACATCTGCCTCGCCAACGGCATGAGCGCCATGGTGCTGGACCAACGGTTGTTCATCTCCTTCAATCCGTGAGTCGGTTTCTCCTTGCCCTGACCAGGTGGTAACCAGGTAACCGGCCCGCCCATCTGCCTCGCCAACGGCATGAGCGCCATGGTGCTGGACCAACGGTTGTTCATTTCTTTCAATCCGTGAGTGTCTTGTTTTTTTTTCCCCTCTCGTTTCTCTCTTTTTTTTTTTTTTTTTTTTTTTTTGTGTCATCTCTTACCCTGCCCGCTTCTCTCCCACCCTGCCTGTCAATCTCCCCCCCCCCCCCGCCCCCCTCCCGCCCCCCTCACCCATTCTCCTGCAGCTTCAACGTCTATGTGTCGCAAGCACAGGTGAAGCCGGGGTGTGTGCTGCGTGTGCCCCTTTATGAACCCCCTTTCTTCCCCTGTCCCCTGCTCTTACCCCCTCCCCCTTCCCCCTGCAGCTTCAACGTGCATATGTCGCAAGCACAGGTGAAGCCAGGGTGTGTGCTGCGTGTGCCCCTTCATGAACCCCCTTTCTTCCCCTGTCCCCTGCTCTTACCCTCTCCCTCTTCCCCCTGCAGCTTCAACGTGCATGTGTCGCAAGCACAGGTGAAGCCAGGATATGTTCTGAGTGTGCCCCTTCTTTACCCATCTTTCTTCCCCTGTCCCCTGCTCTTACTCCCCTCCCCCTTCTCCCCTGCTGGTTCAACGTGCATGTGTCGCAAGCACAGGTGAAGCCAGGATGTGTGCTGCGTGTGCCCCTTCATGAACCCCCTTTCTTCCCCTGTCCCCTGCTCGTACCCCCTCCCCTTCCCCCCTGCAGCTTCAACGCGTATGTATCACAAGTAGAGGTGAAGCCGGGGTGTGTGCTGCGGCAGAGCAACTGGCACGTGCTCGAGTCCAAGGGCCTCGGGTCATCGGGCCTTGCAAGTGCACCATCAACAACACCGTCCCCCTCACTCCCTCCCCCATTCTCCTCCCGCTCCTCTCGCCCTCCTGCCCCTTCTTTTCCTGCCCGCTTCCCTCCCACCCCGCCTGCCTATCTGTTTCCCTCCCTTACTCCACCCCTGCAGCTTTAACGTGTATGTGTCCCAGGCAGAGGTGAAACCAGGCTGTGTGCTGTGTGTGCCCCTTCGTTACCCATCTTTCTTTTCCTGTCCCCTGCTCTTACCCCCCTCTCCCACCCCTCCCCTTTGCAGATTCAACGTGTATGTGTCCCAGGCAGAGGTGAAACCAGGGTGTGTGCTGCGGCAGAGCAACTGGCACGTGCTCGAGTCCAAGGGCCTCGTGTCATCGGATGAGGTGCGCGACTGCAAGCGCAACATGAACACGTTTGGGTTTGTGGGTGACCTGAGGGAGTCCCCTGAGGTGTCATGCGTGTACCATAGTGAGACGGCGGAGAATCTGTTTCTCGAAGATGCCAGCAAGTCGAAGATTCGGATTGGGGGAAGTCAATAGGGAAAGCGGGAGACTGAGGAGGAGGTAGGAGAGGCTGCGTCAAGGGCAACTGGCACGTGCTGGAAGGGAGCGGTGGCCTTCAGGGGAAGAAAGAGTACAGCAGACATGTGTATTCTGGAGGATGCTAGCAAGTCATTGTTCTGCATTGGAGGATTTTTGAACGGTGAAAGGATGTAATTAAGTGACAGTCTGAGCTGAGTGGGTCCAACTCTTTCCTGGACTGCATGCATGAATGTAAATTGCAGACATTCAATTCAATACATATTTTCGCCCTGTGGACAGCTGCACGGAGGGCAAGAGTATGGTCATGTTTCATGTAGGCTAGACAATCAAATGAAGTATGGAGACAACCTTTAGACAGAAGGGTAAGGTACTAGAGCAACACGTAGACGTTGGTCAGCAATCAACTTTCATGCTCACTGTATCCTGTCCTCTCCAATGGAAGTGACAAGTCGAAGTGGCAAGTAATGAAATTGCAAATTACATTCATGGACATTACAATCGGAAGAGCGTCTATCCTTTTAGGAGCGCCCATGTATATGCTAAGTAAGCTAAAGGAAGCAAACATTTACATGGGAGCACCACAGGAATATCATTCTCTTCGAGTAATCTAAGCCCTAGGTTGCTGTATGACCAGGGCCCGCTGCTGCCTAGGCTTGGCGACAGTCTTAGAAACGGTTCTCTCCTTAACGCGGTCGTGCTTCCACGACTTATTAACGTTGTTAGTAACCTCTTGTGTCAAGTCGCATGGCTCGCCCGACCGCTCTGAAAACTCTTCACGACTGCCTGCCATCTCCATGAACGGAAATATCAAGTGTGAGAAGTAAGAAAACACGAAGTATACTGAAATAGAATAATCGATAAAAGTAGGAAGAAACGGGTCCATCGTGTATAATGACGCTTACCTAACAACTCTTGAAACTGCTCGGCGGAAGAATCTTGCAGAAGCTCGTCAAAATCCTCGTCTACGTCCAGTACGTAGAGCTCTTCTTGCAACTCTTCATCAACCATGTCTTCCAGTAATTGCTCGTCTACCAACTCCTCCTCCTCGTTGCGGTTGCCTGACTCGGTTACTTCAGCTTCCAAAGTAGCGAAGCGCTCGCGAAGCCAGTAGTCTCTAAACGCGGGGGAGTTTTGCACCTTATCCCACCATTCTTGGCTGAAATCCTCGGTGTTTCTAAACGCAGCTGGGACAAAGTTAGGAGCATCAGGATTCAGCAACGACGGCATCGACGTGGGAGAACTTACTGCCATGGTGATCAACGAGTGTAACTGAGATGTCAGACAGAAGTTACTGGCGCGAATAGGGCGAGACAGCTCTAATAGGTAAGGAACACCAGGAATTCGCGTGAGGAACAATAATAATCTGTTGTTGTAGAGGTAATGCGCTGAATTCTAGGACGAGCCCTTCTTATTTGTTTGCGAGAGTATTCTATGGGCCTGCTTTGGTCTGCAGAATACCACCAGCAGGACACCAAACCACACCAACCCTCGGTATGGGCTGCTCTGCTCTCTCTTTCCCCTCTCGAAAACAACGGTGTTCGGTTCCATACGTACCGTGGCCTCGGTATTGGCTGGACTTGGGCCTTGTTCGGCAGGCGCATGAGCACAGGCTCGGGAATGGGGTACAGTAAAACGACCACCCTAGATGTTTCCGAGATAAGCGGTTGATCGGCTATCATAGTTCGGGATAGGCGCATGAGCACCAAAGCAGTCTGACTGCCGAACGGTCTTTTTGGCCCCCGGTTTGGGGGCCAAAACCTTGTTCCTGGAACCAACCTCCCCTGGCAAACTGACGCATCAGTGATGCGCGCATGGTGCGTCGTGGAGAGGTAGCATCCATGCGCGCATCACTGATGCGGGGCAGCATTGAAGATTCGCCAAACTTTTCACCAAATTAGGGTTGAACACGTAACATCGATTTTGCTCTGGGAATGTTTAGTCCTTACCCAGCGACCCCCGGGGCATACTGGACAATTGTGGGACACGTGACACATTCCTTCCGCGAGCCTGCAACAAATTGACAAAACACGAACCAGACCCAAGCCTGACTATCTGGTATGTTGCACCAATCCCGAACCAGAGCTCATTCCCGAGCCTAGATTCTGATGCGCCTGCCGAACAGGGCCTTGGTTTTGGGAAGTCTGGATGAAGCTTGTCAGAAGGTTAGGTTAGCAGGTAAGGTTGTTGGTGAACCTCAGGCTGGCAGGTCCCAGGCTTCCGTGTACCTCAGACAACCAGGAACCGCGAATTGCGAAAACATCAGGCAAGGACCATATCTGTCTAGGTTCGAGGTCCAGTTATGCAGGTTTGATGGTGGTGGTCAGGAATGCGGTTTGGGTGAAACGAAACATGCAGAGGTGGCGTCATCAGTCGCAAATCACGGAACGGATAGGCCAATCACTGATCTCGAGCAAGGAGATCCAGCGGGGATTCGACGTGTTTTCCATGTGACACACCGCGTCAATGCTAGTCCACACGCGGATAGGGACTGCAAAACCCCACCAACCAACCACACTCCAGCCCAGCCAATCCAACATGACAGCTCCACTCCAAGCAAGGCAATTATTTGAGGGTTCGTTCATTACACTTCAGTGACATACCCGATAGGGAGGTTGTGCAAAGCAAGTACAATCTGAAAAGGATGTTCTAAAAGGCATTATTTGTATCTCATCCATAAACTGGAATGTGAATTTTCATTGGCCGTAGAATGCCACATATAATGACTCAATGCGTTGAGTGAGAAACAAATGGGCTCACTGATATTTTAATTACATTCAATCAGGGTTCAGGGTATGATGACCATAGATATCAAAACGGTCACACATACTGTACTGAGATCATCATTAGCGGTTTTTAAACATATACGTGTGGCTATGATATATCTGTCAGCATACACATATGCATTTGTGTGTATATTATTTTAGCTAGGTTGGGTTGCACTATAGTGGGTATATGCCTGCTAAATAAATCCCCGCTGTATGCCCCCATTCTTCATTCATACTCTTCTTGACATGATATAATATTATCGTAGGTTAGGTTCCTCACCTCCTCTCCACCTATCTTCATAGCTGTCCTCGTGCCCTGACGCAGCCACCCCAACCGCCAATAACTGCCCACGCTGCCACAACAGCGCGCACAGCAGAGCGCACCTCCGCGGAAGCATACACTGCAGCCCGCGCTGCCTTTAGCCTTAGTAGCAACCAGCACCGCTATCAATGGCACCTCTAGTAACGGCCGGCAACCGCACTCACTTCCACGCGCGCGGACTAGGGTTAATGCTTCGGCTTGTCTAACGCTTCTTCGCCTGTCGTTCCTAGCCTTGCAATTCCGAGCCTCCAGTTCCTTGCCTGGCGTTCCTAGAAGTTTCTAGCTCCAGCCACTCTTAGATCCGGCCGTGTCTCGCTCCAGACACTCCTAGCTCCAGTTGTTCCTAGCGTTTTATATGGCGTCCGCTAGATCATTGCGCTTTGACGCAGACTGGCAGTGCAATAGTTTTTAACACGTGACTTTGCCAGGCTCGGCGACACCTTAGGAGCCAGTGTCAGTATGGCGAAACTCTGTTTGCCCACGCGTCCGGCGCTCTGCCAGCCCCTCAGTGTCCCCTTCCGCTGCTTACTATGCCCCTGCCCACTAAGGAGGAGCAGGCGACGTATGCCAGGCACCACTTGGCGCACTCCATCTAAGACTCTTGCGACGCCGCTGCCTACCTCGTGCTGACAGCTTCTCCCACTTGCTCGTTGTTCCACCCTTTCATCTGCCTTCCTCGGACGCCTCCTCATGCGGTTCGTATTCCATGATCTTGGTTCATTCAAGACCACCTACGACCTTGTTACTCACCTGCATTCCCTTATCACTAGCTTCTGTGTCGCTTGCACCGAGGCCCAGCTTGTCCTCGCCCCCCCTGCCTATTGGTTATTCACCAGCGTCCCTAACCGCCTCTCCTCTTCCCGCGACGCGCTTCTTCAAAAGCACCCCTATGAGCTTACGATCGAACTCCATGAGACCACTTTCACTGAGATCGAGGGTAACCTCCACTATGTTGACTATGCTACTACGCAGTAGTTTCCTGTCTCTTTAAGGGGTGTGCTGCGCTCTAGCTTCCCACCTTTACCACTTCTCTTGCCATTACAGTGCCGTCTGTTTTTTAGGAGACTGCAGCTATTTCTGCCACTAGGAACGAGGCAACGGAGGTAAGAAAGGGAGAAATGGTGGTGGTGGTGGTGGTGGTAGTGGTGGTGGTGGCGGTGGCGGAGGTGTGGGTGGCGGAGGTGGTGGCAATACTGTAGCTTATGGTGGAGGCAGAACTTGAGGTGGTTCTGGGCCTGCGAGCCCGGCAGAAAGAGGCGCTGGCCCTGGAGGTGGTGCGGGAGCACAGCAGCATCAACAATCACAGCAGCAACAACCACAATACGTACAACCGCTGCAGTAGGTACAACCGCCGCAGCAGGTACAGTGACAAGTATAGCCGCCGCAGCAGTTCCAGCAGTGGGGACCTCCGAAACAGTGGGGATGCCCTCAGCACCATGGATGTCCTCAAGGAGGCGGGAGGAAAACTCACCACCTCGGTCAGAGTGCAGTCGCAGGAGCGGGAGGTCCTGCCGGAACCGAGCGTTGAGATGGCGACGGCACGGATCCAACGGATCAACACACTGCGGACATCCGCCTTGCTCTGCAAGGGGAAGACCGTGGTGTAGCGCGTGTAGTCGTCAACAACCAGCAAAAAGTAGCACTCCCCCCCCTGTCCAGTGACGCGGGCTGGACCCCACACGTCCATGTGGAGGGTCTGCAGAGGAGCTGTGGTCGGAGGAAACGAGGAGGAGTGAGGAGCGGCGCGCTGCCGCCCCTCGACGCAGGGAAGGCACGACGGCGCAAGCGACCTCGGGAGCGGGGGCAGGGACCTGGGGAGGCCAGAGACAAGGAGACGGGAGTGCATGCTGCGCAGTCGCAGCTGGGAGGGGTGTCCAAGATGGTGGTGCCAAAGCAGAGCTAGGTGCGTG